TGAAAGGATTTGGTAAAGTCAAAACATGTCGAGTATAGTTTTATATAGTTCGAATTCTTGCATGGTCAAAGGTATCAGATGAAACATGAAACGTGGATGAATGGACATCAAGCGATCATCCCAAAAAATTTGAATAATTTACCATGAAGTGCTCATGTTTCAAGGAATGTCATAGGATGGTGTTTTGAAGTTTTAAAAAGAGGATGTGAGAAATACTTAGGTGTTGTTTGTTTGTTTTTTTAAATCTCTTCAAACCTCTTTTTCTTGCGCGGCGCAGCACACGCGCAACATTTGCCCTCTCGCAGTAGTTTGTTTTTTGAAAGACTTCAGACCATAAAACCTCTGCGCGTCTTCTGCGCGGCGCAACACTTGACTTGTCTCTTCAAACCTCTTCGGCTTTCATTTTTTCCAAGTGTTTTTTTTATAATTTTGGTATGACTTTTTTTTAAAACTTTTTTTTTAACTTTGATTTTTTTAAACTTTTATTTACGGATTTGATACAATTTTTTTATTGTTTCCACAATTTTAAAAAAAAAACTTTGAATTTTTAATTTTTTTTACCATTTCTATTAATAATGTTTTCAGTTTCAGTTGCATCTTTTTTAACGTGTGTAACTTTTTACGAACTTTGTAGACATTGTTTGCAATATTTTCTTGTTTTTTTTTATGTTTTTTAAAAATAGTTTTTTTTTTCTAAAATAAAACTGATAGTTTCTTTTACATTTTTTTAAAAGTTTTATATTTTTGTTTTTTACATGTTCTTTTTAGTATTTTTTTTTCAATGTTTTAAGACTAAAATTATTAAAGTTTCGGTGTTGAGAACTATTTTCAGTTTATGAAATTAGTTTATTTAAATTTCAGTTTACTGCAGCAGTCTGAAGATGTTAAAAAACAAACATGCTTCTTATTATAGGCTGCAGCCGTTTGTTTCACATCTTCTGCTGCAGAGGGTTGCAGAGGTGGTCCGCAGACTTCATGAATTTTTGCTTCTAAAAAACAAACAGCACCTTAGAAGTCCATCCTTTTTATCCCCTTTAAAATGCAACATCGGATAATACTTGCATTCCTCCTTATTAGATATATACAAATCTTTCACCCCTTCTTCCTGTCTTCTTATTCGCTTTCTTTTACTTCGATTTTGTTTTTAGGAAGTGAGGTTTGAAAGTAAATACTAGATATCGGATAACTAGAATGATATCTTTAGTGACGGATAAATTCTAATTGATCAGAAAGAACCTTTTGTGGAAGAAAAAAATGAGTTTTATTAAGTTAGAGTTTCATTTTATAAAAATAAATATGTAAATAATTGTAGTAAGTTTAATGTTTTGTTTTTTCTGTCATGAATTCTTTAAACTTATATCATATAATTGACTACATGTTTCAAGCAAATTGTAGAAAAACTAAAACTCTTTCACTTTTATTGATTTAAACAAGTTACAATAAAACCCCACTGCAAAGAAACCTATTCTACCCCTACAGTCAAATACAAGAGCCCTAATCTAAACATTGAGTTTTAATATGACGAAGACAATATCTCTAATAGGAAGAAAACTTAAGTAAAAAAATATCTAAATGTTACATTGAAAACCCCAACATACATTCCAACTACAGAGGGAAATAACCAAAATAAAAATAAAACCGAGAGAAGAAGGAGACGATGACTATGTATAAAAATCGATCTAAAACACGCACCTTCAGTTTATATACTCGGTCAATAAACTCAGGTCAGACGCATGTCTCTTTTAACTTTCGTCAAACTCGTATATATACTCAACTTCTAAGAGCTGACTACAGTTAGGCTTTTTCAATGTCGACAATTGGAAAATTGAACTCTGAAAATTGGTTGGAGCCCTAATGAAAGGGACTCTCCAAAAATAGGCGTATGCCACTTAATGCAGCGAACACACGGTATTCTTTAGTAAAAGGCGAAAGAATAGTTCGCTTTGTGTTCACTGCGTAGCTGCGTGCCTTCTCCGTTCCCAGCTGCTTTGTTTAACTAATGAGTTTGATACCTTCTGTTTCATTCAAGTAGCCGATGTGGGATGAACCCCATACTTACATCTCTCTGTTTCAAACCCTTCTCCCACTTTTCTCTTCTTTTTCCCCTTCACTTACTTGGATATGGTTTTTGATCTGTTTTTTATGAGGTGTTCATTGTTCATGTATATGGGCTTTGATATAAATTACTAGATATTATTACTGGAATTAGATATTTCGTGAAAGATTAATTTTATTGACCAAAAAAAGAACATTCTCGTGAAGAAAAACAACAATCTTAGGAAGTTAAAGCTTCATATTAGTAAATGAAGTGGATATAAATAGGTAAAAGTTTGTTTTACTTTTGGACAAAGGTATTGTTAGAATGGAGTAGAATGGTTTTGAGTTTAGACTTCACACATTGCTATTACTCTTCAAACAGTTTTTCAGATTTCAACATTTAATACTATTCAAAACAAGATGATTCGTGACCTTTTTGACTTTTATTTCAAACAACATGAGTTCCTTTCTTGTACTTGGTAAGTATTAATGTATTGGTAAATTGTACATTTTCATATCGTAAATTAAATCAAGGAGGTTTGATAATTATCAGTTCATACATTAGTGAGTTGCTTGGGCACAAAATATGTTTTGAGTTCCGGAAACACTAATGTTTTCCTAAGTTCTACTAACTTATATACTTTTGTATTAGAAATATAAACAAGGTTTATATACACTTGTATACTTAAACGTTTAAAGAATGTATAAGTCCTAACTCTTAACTTTTTTGTATGAATTTTATTCAGGCGATGTTTGGTTTACCTAAGAAACTATTGACCAGGTCAACTTTTGGTTTGGCAAAAGAAGCATACTTGGTTTGGGTTTAACCGTTTAGTTATGTATCTCACCTCATTAGAAGCTCAAAATGTCAAGAAACTTTATGGCAGAACAATCAATATTATCATGATTAATAAAGTAAGAAAAGAGATGAACATTTCTGACAAAATCCAGTTAGTTTCTCTTATGCTTTTGCTGATCTGTAAACTTCATATATTCAGGTTTTTTATTTTGATTCTCGCTGTGTCTTTTGAGTTTATGAGTTTTGACTTTTGACACCAATTTTACAAGCTTTTATTTAATTGACAAATTATTATAGTCATGACTAGTGAATTATACAAAATAACTAGTAAATTTTTTAACTTTAAAAATTGGTTGGAGCCCAGCAATGAAGGAAGGAACTCTCCAAAAATAGGCGTATGCCATTGTGTATGGCAAGCACACGGTATTCTTTAGTAAAAGGCGAAAGAATAGTTCGCTTTGTGCTTACCACATGGCTGCATGCCTTTACATCCTTCAGCTGCTTGGTTTAAGTAATGACTCTCACACCTTCTCTTTCATTCCAGCAGCCGATGTGGGATGATCCTCAAACCTGCGTCCCTCTCTGTCAAACCTTTCTTCCACTTTTCTCTTTTTCCCCATTCTCTTTTGATTTGGTTTTTGATCTGTCTTTTAGGAAGTGTTCATATATGGGTTTTGAAAGCAATTACTGGATATCTGAACTGGAATGAGATATTTAGTGAAAGATTAATTAAGTCATTTTATTCATCTCACTTGTCAAAGCGTCCAAATGGTTTTGAATTTAGACTTCACAGTTCACACATTAACTTTTACTGTTCAAACATGTTTTCAGATTTTAATATTTAGCACTAATAAAAACCAGATGATCTGTAACACCTTTTTTACCTTATCTCAAACAACATGAGTTCCTTTCTTCTACTTCTCAAGTTAGTGTATTGATGAAATGTGAATCAAGGAGGTTAGATACTTATCAATTCATACAGTAGTGAGTTGCTTGGGCACAAAAATGTGTTTTTGAGCTCCCGAAGCACTAATGTTTGGCTCAATTTTACAAGGTTATATGCACTTTTATATTTAAAAATGTAAAAAAGTATTAAGTCCCAACTCTTTAACTTTTTTTTTTCTGTGAAGTTTACTCAAGCAAGGTTTGGTTAACATAAGAAACTATTGACCAGGTCAATTTGAGTTTGGCAAACAGAAGCTTAATCGATTTTGGTTTAGCACCTATGCATCCCCCACTATAAGCTCAAAAAGTAAAGAACTTAATTTTATGGCAGGACAATTAGTTATGAAGATAAATAAAGTACCAAAATCCATTTGGTTTCTCTGATATTGTTTCTGATCACAAAGCTAAAATAGTCGAACTTTCAGGTTTCCTGTGAAGATTATTACTGCATTTCTTGTACTTCTTGACCAAATCCTTCAAAGCTTTTGGTTTTATCAACCTGATGTTGTTTTTGTTTTGTTTTTTAGGAAGTGTTTCAGATATATGTTTCAAAAGCAAAATACTAGATATTAGATAACTAGAATAAGATATATAGTCACGTTCAAAATTTGTGATGAGAGGGATGGTATTATTAAAATTTGCTGTAGATCTCGAATGTAATAGAAAGATAAGATATTGAGATAAACCTAATAAGCTAATAACATCCCTATGGTGGAAGATGGGCTCTTTGCCTCTTTCGACAAAAAGTTAAAAACCATATAAAAGTTAAAAAAGACGACTTAACCATAATTAAACACAAAAATAAACACATTACAAATGAGCAACCATTAATTTGTATTTACAAATATAAAACAATCTTGAGTGAAAATATGTACCTAATCCCGTATTATGGCTACATTTATATGGCTAAGGGCTGATAAAAAATTATGTGTGGTAAGACTAAATGAAAAGTTACTATTATAGTTTTGACTTAAGTTTATATAAATATTATGTGCTTCTTATATCTAAAATCAAGCAAACATTATGCGTACATGGCACAAAAATGATGACATGGCAATATAAGCCGTGCTTATTTAACAACAAAAATAGCACGTTACAAAAATACCAAGAGACCATAAAGCTCTGAAAACTGAGATCTTAAACAGCATATGTTCAAACCAAACAACACCATTTTGCATCATTCTCAACAAACAAAAAAGAAACATACTCAAAATAAATTTAAAAAAAAAAAAAAAATACAAATTTACTCCTCTCGAGAACACCATTCTCTAGCATTCTGGAACATCTTCAACCACGGACTCGGTCCTTTCTTCTCCACATCCCACTCCTTGGGGTACCACGGGAACTGCCACATCAGAAAACACCGCTCAGGATGTGGCATCATCGCCAAGTGCCGCCCATCCGGCGAACAAATCGCCGCCACACCCACCGGAGACCCATTCAAATTAAACGGATACTCCTCCGTCAGCTCCCCATCATCATCACAATACCTCACCGGAGCCAAATCCGCCTCCAAAATCCGGTCAAAAACACCCTTCTCAGGAAAATACGCCTTCCCTTCACCATGAGCCGCCCATACCCCCACCGTACTCCCCGCCATCCCCTTCAACATGATCGCCGGAGACTCCTTAATCATCACACTCGCGAACCGACACTCGAACCGACCCGACTCGTTATGCACGAACCGCGGTTGCACCGGGTCGCCCGTCGCCACCCCGGGTCCCGGGACCCACCCCAACAAAGCCATGAGCTGGCACCCGTTGCATACCCCAAGGCTAAAAGTATCTTTCCGATTGTAAAAATCCTGAAACTGTTTCAAAACAGACGGGTTGAACCGGATCGACCCGGCCCACCCTTTGGCGGAATCTAGAACATCCGCGTAACTAAACCCGCCCACGAAAACAATCCCTTTAAAATCATCCAATGAAATCAACCCGTTTAAAAGATCCGACATTGTCACATCCCACGGTTCGAACCCGGAAGCGAAGAATGCGGCGGACATTTCACGGTCACCGTTGCTGCCCTCCTCCCGAATCACCGCCACTTTCGGTTTCACCGCCGCCGTCATGTATTTCTGATCGGTGTTTGCCGGAGTAAATGACAACCGCCAGGCGGGTTCGTGGCGGTGTTTTAACCCATCCTTTTCCGCCGCCACCGAAGCTGCCAGTCTTTGGTATTTTTCGAGGTGGAAGCTCGTTTCTTCCCAAATGTCACGAAGGTCCACGGTTTTTTCATCCAAATGGGTCAACCCATCGATTTTTAACCTAATTTTTGGATCGGAAGTTACTTCTCCTATGATCTCTCCATTAACGCCACGGTTTTGGAGAATTTTTGTGACATTATCGAGATTTGATTTGCTGATTTCGAGGATGAGACCGAGTTCTTCTGAGAATAGGGTTTCAAAGATGCTTTTTCCATTTGAATTTAGATTGATCTGAACACCACAGTTTCCGGCGAAAGCCATCTCCAGGGCGGTGATGATAAGGCCACCATCACTAACATCATGCCCGGAGGAGATCAGATCGCCGGAGATAAGCTCTTGAACCACCTCAAACACGGTTTTCAGGTAAGGAACATCATCAAGATCAGGACATTCATCCCCAATTTGGTCAAACACCTGCACATTAGTCAAATTGTCAAAAGTCAAAACCTGAAATCCAAAGTGAAAAATATAAAAGTAGAAAAGTACCTGAGCAAGAGCAGATCCACCTAATCTTCTTTTCCCTTTTGCCAAATCAATATGAACAAGAACACCTTCATCTTTAAGCTTCAAATCAGGAGTCACAGTCTTTGTAATATCAGGACACGTAGCATAAGCACTAATCACAAGATTCCCAGGAGCTTTCACGACTTCACCATTTGAATGAGCTGCCATTGAAAGACTATCTTTCCCACCATCAATGGCAATCCCAAGCTCAATCATAGCCTCCTCCAAAGCAACAGCAGCATCATACATTGCAGCTCCTTCCCCATCAAGTTTAGCAGCATACATCCAATTCCCACTCGCCTTCACATCACTCAATCCCGTAATCTTCGCCCAAACAAGATTCGTAAGCGCTTCACCCACAGCCAAACGCGCCATTGCCTTTGCATCCAACAACCCTTTCACCGGCTGCTCCCCAATCGCACACGCGCCACCTGTGTAATCTGTATACGTTTGCGCGATCACCGCCACGTCAGCGAGTGTGATCTGCAACGGGCCCACCGTTTGCTGCTGGGCCACGAGGCCCGTTACACATCGGTCCACTTTCGTTGTCAAGAATCGCTTCGAACAGATTGATGGAAGGCGTAACACGCGTTTCAAAGAATCCATTAATGTAATCCCGGGAGCTATTTCGAGAGGCTCACGTAGATCTTTCACTCGGTGAAATTCAAACGTCTTTTGTGGCATGTCTCCGAGGACTTTTTCAAGTTCGAGATCGACAGCTGGCAAAGGTGGTGGAAGACCGTTTGACTTGCTTTTTTCAATCGCGTGACTGTCGATTAGACGAATATACCCTTCGCCATTTATACTCCCGATTACAGCCATTGACACGCGTTCTCTTTTACATAAAGATTCCAAAAGTTCACGGCTTTTAGGGTTTACTAAAATCGCATCCTGTTCTTGATATTCAGCTCCCCATATTTCCAAAACAGACATGGTGTGGTCCCCAACTACAACAGCTCTAATATCGATTGTTGCACCTTCTGGGTAGATGATTTCTTTAACTACATTACAATTCCCACCTGCTCCTTGATCGTGTATGCTTACAATCGGATTATCTTCACCCATTTCGATACACGCGCGAACAACCCGGTAAAGTTTCTGCGCCATCTCAGCATCGCCACGCTGGACCGCGTTAAAGTCCAGCTCAGCATCGTTCTGTCCACTCACCATGCTCGATGCTGCACCACCTCCCATTCCAATCCGGTAAGCGGGCCCACCGATTTTCACAACCAGCATTCCGATGTCGGGTTCGCCTTTTGTGATGTGGGTGTGATCGATTTGTCCGATTCCGGCGCTGAACATGATCGGCTTCAGCCATTCCCGCCTTTCCCCACTTGGGAGTCTCATTCCGAAGGTTCTCGTGTACCCTTGAATCAAAGGCTCCCCGAATTTGTTCCCATAATCAGATGCTCCATTGCTGGCATCTATAAGAATCTGTAGAGGTGAAGCCAGGTTGGATGGATATTCAAATGATGTGTCTTCCCATGGAGCATATGAACCTTCAATGTTTAAATTCCCAACACAATAGCCAGCTGTGGATGCAACAACAAATGACCCTCTTCCTGTTGCGTGTGTATCCCTAATTCGCCCTCCTGCACCGGTTTCCGCACCGGGGTATGGTGCAACTGCACACGGGAAATTATGGGTTTCAGCTGTGAACAGAATGTCAAGATCGCGTGTAGAAAGGTTTAATGGAGATGTGGATCCTGGTTTTGTGGGTTGCAACTGGTTTGCTAAAAACCCTTTGATTGCACTTGAATTATCCTTGAATCCAATCACAGAATTGTTGGGATTCGCCTTTAAAGTGTTCTTTACAATCTGCATTAGAGTTCGATCCATGGGTTGACCATCTACTACAATCTTTCCTGTGAAGAACCAGTGGCGACTGTGTTCACTGTTTGATTGTGCAATGTCAAAAAGCTCAACGTTTGTCGGGTCCCGTTTAATATCATCTTTGAAAAGTTTAGTGTAGTATTGTAGATCTTGTTCATCAAAAGCCAACCCCATTTGTTGGTTTATCTCTTCCAATGCTTTTCTCCCCTTTTCCATAACAGGAATAGTATAAACTTCTTCAGGAACTAGACTTGTTTTGAAGGAAATGAGTTTTTTGGGATACACGCATTCAGTCATTCTATCATGCACCATTGCTGCAAACTCTTCGATTTGACTTTCTAGAAGAACACTTCCTGCTTTAACATATAAAATATATCGCCTTGATCTTTCCAATCTACTGACTTCTGAAAGTCCACAAGCTTGGCATATAGAAACAGCATTTGCAGACCATGCTGTGGTGAAAGACAGCCTTGGTCCGACTTCAACTACCACACTGTTGAGCCCTTCTTTTTTCTCTGCAGAGAAAAAGCTTTCATTACCTAAATTATCTGGCTCATAGGTCTCTCTTAGAAGCCATTGAAGTACTGAAAGCTTCTCAGATGACAAACTCCCATCGACCCCAATGTTGAAACACTGTTCTGTTTTCAGACCCACAATTTGATTCGAGATCTTGGTCTGAATCGACTTCAGCAACTCTTCGTTTGCTGTATCTTGAATTAGAGGAGTTCTAAAGAAGTGAATCACTTTTTCGGTTCCTAACTTGTCGACACTGCCCAAATCTTGTACATCTACCGATGCAACAGCCCTGACTTTCTTAGAGGAATTTCGTCGAACACCTTGGTTGCATATTCTCACCAAATTGTTTCTTTTGTGTTTAGATAAACCAAAGAGCAAATGGGAACTTCTGCTCTTTGGTAAAGGTTTTGGCAAGAAAAAGTTGCGATTTCTTGAGCCCTGAAATTAGATAAATAAATTATACAAAATTATATAGATTACCATCAGCCCAAATAATAAATTTCAAAAAAAAAAAAAAAAAAAATCAATACAATAGCAAGCGAAACATAGTACATACTTGTAAGAACTCAGATGTTGTAATCTCCAATGATGCAGCCATTACTGCATGAACGATTTGAACTGTAACAAAGAAAAGATAAAGTTTTTATTAACTTTCTGAGCTATTTGTATTTGTGGAGCACGCCAATACGATCGAGATCAAAGAGATGACATACATGCATATGAAAGAAATACTAAACTAATCAAGAATGAAGCACACAGAAAGCGGCTTACCCGTGGCGTCGGCAAATGTTTCGGAAATTGGAGGAGGAAGCAGAAAGCCAAGGTCGCGTTAAGTGAGAATTAAACCACAGACAGATAAAAACAAGGGTTTAGGGTTGAAGTGGATTACAAGCTGGTCCTTCATCTACTTCGCGATATCAATTACCAGTCCCCGGGGTTTGCAAGTTTCAGTTTTGATGAAAACATAAAAAAATGTTATTATTCATTAATTGTCACACTTCTATAAGAAAATGTATTTTCATGCATTTAAAAAAAATAGCAAATTTGCATTTAGATATATCTGTAGGCGTATGTTGAAAACGACCAACCTAAGCTTCTAACTTAAGATCAATGATCAGCTTGATACATCTAAAAACCATACATGTAAAATCGAGTATCTTTAAAAAAAAACTAAAAACTTCAATACATGCATGTCTTAAAATAAAATAAATATATATACATCAAATATTGGACTAGAGCACAAATATGTTGAAACTTTAAAAGTAAAATGATGGAAAATCTGCTTAGATATGCAGCAAAAAAGAATGTGATACCAAACATAATGAGGTTGAGAATATAATATGATAGGGATATAAGATGTTCAAGAGTCCAGCGAAGGACATTTGGTCTTGGTTCTAGAAACTAAAATTTTATTTAAACTTGGAATAAATTTTGTATAATAATATTGGAGCTCAAATAAAAATATTATGTTAACGTGCGGATACATCAACAAAACTATTTCGTGTAAATATTAGAGTTTGGTTATACTTTTACTTCAAATATAGTAACAAAAACTGGATCATTTTTTTTCTAATGAGATAAATTTATTAAATTTATTTCTGAAAGTTATTAATTTTTATTCTCAAATCAATATGTTAGAAGAAAATCAAGTTAAATTGCATCGTTATGCAGAAGTAAGAAAATAACAAAGCAACCTCGAGTGTCCTCAAATTAAGCTGGATTGAAGCGTCCTCATCTTGAATTGAATTGTATTGTGATAGTGAGAGAATGACAAATACCTTGAGTGTTTGCACACAGTGTTACACCTAATGAGTGTTTCAAATGTTAGTTTGCTAAGTTTCCATGGAAGGGGTACATTTTCTCCTTGTTTGTGTCCACATATGTCCGTTAATTTTCTATATATATCCATAGAAACTATATAGAACAAAGGGTTGATTGATATGCATGTGTTTTGTTGGATTTTTGTATATCAATACAATAAGGTTTTCACTCTCGTTCATCTCACCTACAAACTTAAATCATATAGAGCAAGAACATGCATGATTGTAAATGATTGTAACTTGTAAGAGGATGTTAGACATACCATAACTAGCTTATAAGCCAACATATTTTTTAAACTTTTAGGCTATCATGACAAACCAAAAAGTATTTTATAATCTAACTTTAAAATATATATATATATATATATATATATATATATATATATATAAAATAAAAACTATATAGACCAACTTTTCAACAAGCTTATTGATGTTTAATTTTTTTTTTATCAAATATAGCTTTTACTAATTATAAAAAACTCAATATTTTACATGTTTTTTTATGTTATTTTTCATGTTTCAACTAACTTATCAACTAGTTTTACGAAACATTATTTTTTATCGACTAGGAAATAGTTTTTTTATCTATCATCTATATTTTAAATGGCAACTACTTTTCCGATAAATCCACCATATTAGCCCATAATTTTGTTTCTAATTCCATAAAATAAAATGTGAGGTGTTAGACTAAGATGGGTATCTCAAACTTCATATAACGATCCATTATTCTTTTAGTACATGTTGTTTTGCGGTCCAATGGACCAATCATCGTCATCAAGTTCAAAAAACCGTACAAGAACCCGATACACCAAACTCCAAACGAACGCTGAAAATGGGTTCCATTTCCATCTCTAACAATCACACCAGCTTACTACTTGCTCCTCATTCGTATTCATTAACACAGCCAAATATTTTCTACTCTCAATTCATCAACTTCCCGAAAACCCCATTTTGTAATTCATACCCATTACTATCATCATCACTTATAAATCTTATCGCCAACAGAACCCCTAGGTGTGTTGTAACCGCCAAAAAGAAAACCCCCTCTTCAGAACCAGTTCTCAGTCCTTCCATTGTTGAAGAAGTGTCAGAGGATGATGAATTTGAAGAATTTGATGATGGTACTTTTCTCTTTAATAATTTTCTATTGCAGAAACAGCAAAAGTCCCAATTTTTTGCAACGGATTTGGGCACTATGAACAAAAACTGAATACGTTTGCTGCTATTGGCTTTTGCAATAACAGAACTTGTCATGGCTTCCATGGCAAGGTTTTCCATTTGTAAATTTCTATTGCTTATCTTCCAAATATGTTGTTCATTTGAGATTTCTGTTTTGCGTATTTGTTCTATGGTAGTTAGTGAACAAATTTGGGTAATTAGGGTTCTATATGTGCCCGTTAGTGTGATTCGGGGATGTTTATATTCTGTTGATCTCAAGAGTTCTTTCTTTTCTCATATAATCATGCTATTTAGAGGAATTCGATGATGATTATGATATTGAAGATGAGTACGCGTTAGAAGATGACGAACCCAAAGTAAGTTGCTGATTTACTAAGTATTTTAAACAAATTCACATAATTTATTAACAAATCATTCATATTGTAGATTTAACACTAAGCTTTAACTTTTATTAAAAAAAATATATATATGAAGGCTGGAGATGGAGGTGGAGGAGGTGGAATTTCACTTGCTGGGACTAAATGGGACAAACAAGTGTTAGAAATGGCTGAACAAGTTTCCATGTCTTTTGATGGAGAATTGGGAATATATGCTTTCAAAACTTTACAAAATTCTGCCATTCGAGTGCGCATTGAAAGGCTTACAAACAAGTAAGCATTTATGTTTATATTAGTTTAAAATTAACAAAATACAACAATACTAAACCATTTGAAAAAACATATTATTGATGATTGTTGTATTTTGTGATGGTTTAGTAATATTGTATTAAACCAAAATGTGGATGAAATGAGTCAATAAAGGTGAATTATTTTACACCAAATGATTGTCTATGTATGAAAATAATAATAATGATTAATGACCTAAGAAGACAAAAAAAAAAGTAGATTGCTATTTTATGACTTTATCTCTAAGAAAGTATAGATGTTTTGTTTTGCAGATCGGGTTCTCCCACCATGGAAGACATTGAAGCTTTCGCAAAGGCATACAGAGAACGATTAAATGAGGCTGAGGCTGATGGATCTATTCCTGATATATCAATTGAGGTACTTTTAGTTCTCTCTATTACAACATTGTAATTTAATTTTTTTTTTTTCTAATTAAGTTATTGTACTTTGAAAAATCTACCTAATTATAGCAGTGAAAATTGCTTTGTATTTGGATGACATTGCTATAAATTGGTAGATTACTAGTATAAGGCCCCATATGTTACACAAGATATTACAGAACAAAACATGTTATACTGTACTGCTAGTCTACTACCTTTGGATTGTGTTGGACTGAGACTAATACCAATGTCAATGGGACTTGCCCCATCTAAAATTGTGGGGTGGGCCCCATCATGATGTTTGTTTGGTAGGTATCTTCACCTGGACTTGAGAGGGTGGTTAGGGTTCCTCAAGATCTTGAGAGGTTTAAAGATCGTCCCATGTATGTGAGATACACAACTGAAGGTGATGATGTGGAACGTGATGGTGTTTTGAGGCTTGAATCTTTCCGACTTGGAAACTAGGCGTTGTATTTGGGGTTTAGCAGATGTTAAGGTTAATCGAGAAAAGGCGGGAAAAGGAAGACCACTTAACAAAAAACAAAAGGAGTGGCGACTCGATACCCCCTTTCAATCTTTGGTTTTAGTTAGGATTTATGCTGATTTTTGAATGTGTATCATATGCTACATCAAGTTAACATTTTAATAAAAAATTTGGTAATGTCACAATAACTTAATACAAGGTGTACAAATGAGGAAGTTTATATCTTTCAATCTTTAGGAATTGAAGTATTTGAAAAAAACATCACTTGTTTATACTTTATAATTTGTTGAAAACTCTATGGTTTAAGAAAAGCTCTTTATGCGTTGTACACCTTAAAACTTTCTTTTAAATTTTTCTTTGTTTCTGGTGATTATATAATGGGTAGAGTTGATAATTACATTGTTAAGGATGTACATGATCATATTATGGCTGATCAAATTTATATAATGGTATATATTTGATTATTTCATTGATATTTTATAAAGTATTCATTTCTAAGATATATCCTATACTTGTGGGGATGTACATTAAAGGTGCACAAATGCCGGTTTCGGTTATAATCGGTTCGGTTATTTTAGAAATAAAATTTTGTTAAAAAATTCTTTTTTTTTCGGTTTAAAAGACGGCTTGGTTCGGTTTTCTTAAAAAAACAATAAAATATTGGTTTGGTTTTTTTTTTTTTTAAACTTATATTAAGCCGCTGGTTCGGTTATTTTTGGCTGGTTATAAAAAAAACCGCTTACAATTGTGCACCTCAAATGTACATTACGAGTTTATCATTTTGAAGCGTTTTTATTTTAGTGTAATTAGTTTCTTTGGTTAATTAGGACGTGTTCGCAAAATTAGTTGGTAGCGAGTAGCTTGAAGCAGGTAGCGGGAAGCTTGTAGTTTGTATCGTTTTATTAAACGTTATGTGAAGTAGCATTTGGATTTGTAGCGTTTTGTTTAAACTAAAAGCTAGAAGCTTGTAGTGTCAAACAAAAAAATATGTTCAAAACGGAACGTTTTGTGTATATTCTTTGAGAATATAGTTTGTTGGTATTACTGATTGACTAGTTTTTTTTATCCATTTTATTTTGCAGAAATTTCAAGAAAAACATGTTAAGTTATTGTACAATGATAATATTTCGTATGATTTGAATTTATGTATTTTGCAAATGAAAAAATGTTATTTTAACCCAACGAACTTATCTCATTTGTTTTAAAAGTCATCCAATTTTTTTTTTTGTACATAAAGTAATGAAGTAGAGTATCGGTGGTTTAAAGCGTCATTATCAAACACAAACAATGTGTTAGGCATGTTCTATCAAACTCCAAAAAGAGATTTCCTGAAGTTTCATATGAGTCAATGTTTTGGAAACAAGTAAAGCATCCATTGAACCTCTTTTCAATGCTGCAATGAAAGATATTCAAATGTTCATTCGTGCAACATATGTTCACCTTAAGGGAAGGAACCCAAATCATGGTCAAAGAGCTTTTTTTCTACCATGAAGGGATTGTGATCCAGTGGAGAATGGTTTGAAAGCTTCAACAATGTTCTTGTGGATCAAGGAAGAAGCCCATAATAATTATGTTGGAGGATATAAGATTGTATGTTATGATGATGTGTAACTTGAATTTTAAAGGGAGTCAATGGGATCGTTTGCAAGTTTGTCCAACTATAAGACTGAACATTAATGAATTGAAAATCCATAAAAAGGTAATTATTCCTAATAATGTATATGCTCACCGAGTGATTTCATTATTAGTTACTAACGATTTATTTCGTTGTTTAGGTATCGGCAATTGTTGTCTAGTGAACTTAATATATTTGAGTGCAAAAATTTAGCATATTCATATGTTGTTGACTTGGACAAAAAAAATTGCACATGCAGGGTGTGGCAGTTGAATGGCTATGGTTGTGTTCACTTAGCTGCAAACATTTCTTACTTAAACAGGAATGTGGAGGCATTTGTTGATCCGTTATTTCATGTAACATTTTATATGAACACTTACAAGTACCAAATAACTTGTACGAATGGAAGTGCAATGTGGCCTCCTACAGACTATATACCACCATTGCCACCATTGAAAAGGAGGATTTGAGGGAGACCTACCATAAATAGGAAGAGGGACAGTTTTGAGAGGAGTACATCACACAAGGTATCAAAAGCAGGGGAAAAAATTGTTTGTGGTTATTGCAAAAAGATTAGGCATAACAAATCAACTTGTCAAGAAGTGGAAATGTCATTTAAATCAAAAGTAACAAAAAAACCCAAAGATTAGGCACAATACAGATGGGCAACAAATGTGACTGAAATAGAAAAACGGAAGGGTAAAGACAAAGTTAAGCATAAGCAACAAAAAAAATCAGAAAGGATAATTAAGATGAAGTTGGAAAAGAAGGTTCAAGGTAAAGACAGTGAAGGTAATAACTCATCATAACCAATGGACTTGTATTAGGTTTGATATTTTGAGGGAATGTGAGAGTATGAATGTTTGATAGTGATGGAATTGTATGTTTGTGTGTTTTAATTTGGTAAAGACTTGGATATTATGCTTGTTTGCGGTTATGAGACAAAATTGAAAATACAAATGTTTGTTTGTGGTAAGTGTGCACATTGTACTTTGATATAATATATGTCAATCTACTTTGTTACCCAAAATGGTAATGTACTTTGTGACCCAATAAGGCAATATACTTTATTATCCAATATGGCAAAATGTCAATGTACCTTGATATCCAATATCGCAATCCACATTGATACCCAAAATGGCAATGTACTTTAGTTCATTTGGCTCATTTCCTAATATGGCAGTGCACTTCATACATTCAGTTAAAGACATTATGTTTCTCAAATCAAATAAAATACTTTCAACACATTCACACATACAAAATTAAACAACCAAACCATAATTACTTTTATGAAATATCTGTCGAACATTAACATTACAGCCAACACTTTTGGGTATAATAATCGGGTTTGTGTACAATAATATGGGTAATCGATACCCCAAAAACACCGTTATACACGGCTTATCCCACAAAATCCACAAAAAAACCCCCAAAATAACACTAGTAAACCCTCAAAATAACCCACATTAAACCCTAAATAACGGTTATCATCGAAATCAACAAAACCCAACAAACACTAGTCCTAATACAACATCCACAAAAATGATTTTGGTAGACAACAAACCCACACTATTTCCATGATCGAGTTATCCAACTTACACAAGCACCCACCCCGAGAATCACAATCCACAAACTGACGTTAAACTTCTTCTGCATTAGCTCCAACTGCTCTCTAACTACCATAAGCTCCCTATTCATGTTGTTTCTTAATTTTTCCACTTCAACTTGCAGTTCCATAGCAAGCAACTTGTTATCGGTTGGAATATCCAAGTCGGATGCGTGGAAACCACCATATGAAAAGCTACCAGACGAAGCTTTATCGATTTCTTGAGAGATTTAAGGATAAACGAAGAATAGGCAGACAATTGTTGCTCTAAAAGGGTAACAATCTACATCGGTTTATCATAATAAGGGATTGCCCACTTTTTTATAGGGGACCACAAGCCAAGTAAACAAAATTGGTCCCTAAGGGTGGTACCGTTCACCTACGCGTCCGTCCAACTATGTCACCAAGATTTGTAATACATATTTCTTTTACCTAATGTAAAAGGTTAAATGACTTTTTTAACCGGTTGACTAAACTTAGTTCCTTTTATGTACAAAAAAAAAAATTGGGTGACCTTTTAAAACAAATGAGATAAGTTCGTTGGGTTAAAATGATATTTTCCTTTGCAAATTTAATGCAATTTTCAAATATATCATGAAATATTTTGTGTTAAGAAAAGCTATTTTGCTAATTCGTAAAGACTATCTTCACGAACTTCGTACCTATTTTATGATATATATGATTTCCATTTTTTTATCATTTTCGTTATCCGCTCTTGTATTAAATGTTAGGTATATTCATAAGTATAACAACGAGATTTTTTTTCCTCTCTCAAAACCACGTTTCGTCTTATTCCCTTTTCCAACACACCTTTTTCCTTATATTGGTAAAAGAAACAACGAAACTTCATTTTAAAAATCAAAACCTTGAAGGTGTTAAACGAGTTGGTAAAAAAAAAGGAAACTTGTAAGGGAGGAGGGAGTGATTCCCTCCTAACCCACTGAACCCACTGCCACATCATTTTTTCTCTTTTGTTTTTCTTCATCTTTCCGAACCCACAACACACGGAAATCATATCTTTTTGAACCCACTCAACCCACTCAATTAAAAAAAAAATACAAAACAATCAAATATAAAATCTTAATTAGCAATAGAGTTATCGGCGGTACCACTCACGCTTCAACGAGTGGGTTGATTGGTTTCAATAACTCACTTCATCATCTCTCTCTACTTTCTCTTTCTTATTTTCTCTTGTACCATGTGTTTTAAAACTCGTACCTTAGTTGTTTTGTATTTTTTTTTTAATTGAGTGGGTTCAAAAAGATAAGATTTATGTGTGTTGTGGGTTCGGAAAGATGAAGAAAACTAAAAGAGAAAAAATGATGTGGCAGTGGGTTCGGTGGGTTGGGAGGGAACGACTCCCTCCTCCCTAAAGAAGGGGTCGGGCTTAATAAAGAAGAAACAAAAATGGTTTTGAAAGAAAGAATAAGTGATATCATTTTATGTAATTACATGTTTTAAAAACTTCAATTACTTTTGTCGAATTTTCATATATAAATACTAACTAATAACATGAAATACAACTTTCATGTTATGCCTTAACCAATTATCTTTTTCTAATAAATAAAATATATGTACACAATAGCATCGATTTTTGTCTCTCCCAACCAATTCTTTCCTTTTTTTCAAACTTGCCTCTTTCTCAATGGAGACACAAAACCTCTCATAAATAATAAACAGTCAAGAAACTTGAATATAAAAATCAAAACCTTATAAATATCATCATGCATTTGGAAAGAAAAAGTTGGGAGTTTGAAAAGGAAAGGGATAATGACTTGATAGGGTAAGATACTTTTTGAAATGTACACATTTAGTCTTTATTCTTTTTTTTTTTTGTAAAATAAACACGTATACTTTATTTTTTGTAACAATGCAATCCTTGTGACCGGCTATACCCGGTATACCGGTCATATACGAATTTTCTTTTAGGGAAAATGACTTGATAGGGTAAGATACTTTTTGAATTTTACATATTTAGTCCTTATTCTTTTTTTT